ACCCTGGAATAACACCTGCATCTGGTATTAACTTGGTCCCTGGAATAACTCAGCAGTGAAAATTTTAGCTTCCTGGCAGGCAACTCCAGGGCCTTATGGCCTTATTGAACATCAAGCAGGGGCACTTACTCTTTCAAGTCGGTGCTGGTACTTACTCTTTCAAGTTAACAGGCTTGCCTTTTTCTGCCTCACACCTCAGGTTTTTCACCAACACATCTCCGTACTGTTTAATGATGGGGAACATCTGAGGAGAAGACACAACACCATTTGTAGCTAAATCCATACATCCAGGCCCCAGAAAATATAAGACATTATCAATCATGAAGCAATATGTGACAATTTATAATTAAGTTCATAATGGGTTTCCTAGGGCATAAAGACAAAGACCATTCTTAAAAAGTTCCAACACAGAGGCTTACACCTTATAAAGAGACTAGGATCTTAGTTTCTACCTGTCCCCAGATTCACTCTTAAGTATTCAGTTAAAATCCTCTTAACTTCTTACTTCCTTGAGTTTTCCACTGGTGAAGGTTGGAGACAGCAGTGTTCGTATTCTCTTCCATTCTTCATCCTCAGATATGGAGACTGCTTTTCTCATAAATCCTACTGGACCAAGTGTCTACAGTCCAGAGAAAAAGACAATTTATCATTCGTAGGTGTTGAGATCTCCACAGTTATAGAAAATCTGTTAGACACACATCACTTGTCTAACATTTAGTGACTATTAGATGGTATGCTCCATGCTAGATGCTCAGTAAATATTTGTCACAACGGCCTTGCCTCCTGTGAGTGAGCAGGGGACACCCAGCCACCTGGTGTGGTTTCAAGCCTTTATATTTCAGTTGCTTTTTAAATACAAGTGCCTATTGTCATGGGAAACTGTTCTTTCAGATGAACGGCCTAGAACATGCCAGCATACGTATGGCACATATTCTGCAGCCAACTCGTTATGACTGAAAGCTCTAGAAGGTTTGTCATCACTGGGTCAAAGCAAGACCTCCTCCATCTTCCAAGATAGTGCAGTATACAAATGGTTGACGACAGCTAGAAGGTAGGCTTGGAAATTTGTATGATGCCTCAGATTGTTTTTCAATTTATATCCATTTCAAGCAAAAGTAATGTAAAAAATAGGATGCCTTGTTATGGTGATTTTTAAAAAATATATAAATGTGAAAGATTAGGAATGATATACAATTCTTTGTTCAGGAATACAACTAAAGAGAAAGATAATTTGATTTCTTAGTTATTTTTCTCATTGCTGAGACCAAATACCCAACACCCAAAGTAAAAGGATGAAAGGTATATTTTGGCTCACAGTTTGTAGAGGTTTCAATTCATAGTTGGCTGGCTCCAAGGCAGGGTGTCACGACAGAGGGGCATCACAGAGGAAAAACAGATCATGGCAGACGTATGATAGGAGGACAGCAAAGCAGTGAAGTAGCAACCAGCAAGCAACGTCAGCAGCTCTTTCTGTCCCTTATATGCTACTCAGGAAGCACTCACACCCATGGTAGGTCTTTCCATTATCCATACCCACAATTATACCAAGCCAATTAGTGAGCTATTTTAGTAATCACAAACCCATAGTCCCACCATCACACACTCTAGATCCAGCCACCTCTGAAAAGCCCCACTTATGACTGCAGGAGCCTTTCGAAAGGCATGTAGACACAAGCCATAATAATTCCCCTACTTGAAACTATCTTCCTAGCTGGGTGTGGTGGTACACGCCTGTAATCCCAGCACTTAGGAAGCTGAGGTGGGAGGATTTCTGCAAGTTTGAGGCCAGCCTGGACTATATAGTTAGTTCAGGGGCAGCCTGAACTGTACAGCAAGACCCCATCTCAAAAAACACTTCCATATTTATCTGTAAATTCAATTCCATTTTATCAAAATATTTAAAAGATTTTTACAGCCATGGAGAAGACTTTTCTGAATTTGGATGGAAAGGCAAAAAGGGTCAAAGAGCTAAAACAATTTTCAGGGAAAAACAAATGGGAAGAACTCCTTTCCATATCATCACAACTTACTATGATGCTGCAGTAAACAACAATGTGAAACTGGAGAAGAGATAGGCAGAGTGATCAAGGAAATAAAATAAAGAAATAAACCTACACAAATAAGCCAAACTGAGAAAGAGTGAGTTTGAGACTTCTGGGAATACAGCGGAGTGCTAAATATGACAGAAAGTCTCTCAGAGAATTGGTGTCCAGATGCTGGAATATAGCAATGTGAGGAAGAGCAGGAAGGAAGTGCATCCCGAGGCCCACACAAGGATCTAAACTGAGAACTGAAGCCCATGGGAAGAATAAAGAGAGATTTCAACAAAGAAGGAGGTAGTAAGTGGCACATTCTCCCTGAACCCTGACTCACAGTGTAGGAGTGGTGGCTCCAACCTGCAGATGCACAGTGACTACTGCCCTCCACACAGAAATGCACTAGTCGAATAGACCAGTAGACACAGCAGGCTGCAGGGGCTGGTCAGTTATTTGGGTACAGACATCCCCCAGGACAGGACAATTGGTCAGTAGCTATCTTGGAAAGGGGTGAACTGAGCTTGGAATTGAGAGTAGCTGTGGGTTGGTTCCATCTACAGAGTTAGGTGGAACGGAGTTCAACCCAAGAGTTCAAGGAGCCAAGTCCAAGCTGGAAAGAGGCATATAGTGTTGCATGCTGAACATATTGGGTTCCTCACAACCAAAAACAAGCTTGAACTTCAGTGAAACTGAACATCCAGGCTTGCTGTGATTATCAACTACCCTGCCATAAATCTGCAGCTGGCTTGCTGCGATTAATCAACATGGATCAGGACTCTGCCCACTTTGTCTACCATAGCAGAGACACAACTTGAAGTGGATTTTTTTCTTTTCTTGTTTGTATTTTGTTTTGTTTTCTCTTGATTGATTATTCTTGTTTTTATATGAGGGTGAACATTGTTTCTAGTTTTCTTATTGTTGTTGAGGTTGTTGTTGATGACGTTGTTGTCATTGTCATTCTGTTCCATTCTTGTTTTTATTTCTTTCTTCTCTTTTCCTCTTGTCCTCTGTACCAGTTTCCCAAAATTTATCTAACCTTACTTTGTCCTTCAGACTTGCTTCAAATCTCTTCCTCTTCTTCTATTTCTCTATTTTTTCTTAAACCCTTTTTAAATAGTCTACCCTGAGGATAAAATCATCATATCAAGGGCATATTTACTGTGTATAACTTTCTGGTTCACTTTAGATTTTCTCATATACATATAAATATGATTCATATACGTAAAGGTGTCAAACTAATAGTTACCACAGTTTGTCATTTTTAGTACTGTGTTTGAAGCTATTGTTATTGATTATTGCACTACTTTTCCAAGGCGACATAATTGTTCTAGTCAGCTATTCTCCTTGGTATACCAAGAATGAGATTGCTTGAAGGTCATAAATAATATCATAGGCCAGCACCAAAGAACAAGGGGGTAGGCCAAATTGGCAGTGTCTTCTCATCCCCAGTAAACTGAAGAGGCATGATTTTAAAACAGACTGAAAACCAGCGACCCTTGGAAGACATCTCTGAGACATAATCATTTCCTAAGGATTCTAAATACTAGCAATAAGTCACTTTCATAAGCAATTCATAAGCATCAAGCCAGAAATTAAACTAAAAAAATAGAAAATGAGAAGACAATTAAACAACGTGCAACTCCAGACTGCCAGCTCCCAAAGGCAAATTCAGGGAACAATGAGGTGGAACAATTTGGAAGGTAACTACCTGAACTTTCTGAAGTGATAACAGTAGAAGTAAGAAAGTAGATGAAAGAGACTCTAGAAAAAAAGCAAATAAATAATTTCTCAGATAACACAGAGATACTGACCATGAAGAAAGGCATTGGTTAGTGATCCTAGAACAGATAGACTTTTAAAAAAAAATAGGGGAGTTTTTAAAAATGATGGAAAGCATGAATGCCAAACATACAAAAAGCTGGAATACATGAAACAGATTCAAACAGATGTACAGGAGATTAAAAATTCCACTGAAAGTACACCTGCAGAATGAGCCAATGTTAAGACAGAATATCAAATCTAGAAGACAGGACAGCAGATTTCTTAAAAATAGTGAGGGATCATGAAAACTCAATTCAACAACTGGTAGAAGTTGGAAAGAAGAATAACCTAAGATTAATTGGAGTTAATTTTTTAAAAGCAGGATATAGTACAAAAAACAAAAAGAATCTGCTCCTGGAAGTAATGACAGAAAACACCCCAAGCAGGGAAACAATATGACATTCAGATAAGTGAAGCATTTGGAATGCCAATTAGCCATAATTGAAAAATATCTGCACCAAGGGATATAATACTCAAGACTCCAAGTAGTCAACACAAGAACAGAATATTCAACTCTGATAGAGAAAAGAAACAAATCACTTATAAAGGAAACCCCATCAGAATCACAGCAGATCTCCCAAACTAAACCTTCAAGTCAAAGAGAGCTTGGAATGAAGTACTTCAAGCCCTAAAAGAAAACAACCTCCAACCCATATTAATGTACTCCACAAAACTATCATTCAAAATTGATGAAAAAATGAGATACTTTAATGAGTATAAATAAAAAATTCATGACCACTAATATGGCACTCCAAAATGTTCTTAAGTACATTAGAGGAAGAGATAACAAGGACTACAACTTTATGAACCACAACAGAAGGAATCCACCACCAAGGAAAGAAATTAAACAGAGAGGAGTAAGGAGAACCAACAACAGGAAAATAACATGAAAAAGATAACTCAATACGTATCAGTTATAACCATCAATATAAATGGTCTCAATTCACCAATTAAAAGAAACAGACTGGCAGAATATATCGAGAAGTGAGCTCCAACAATATGCTGCATTCAAGAAACACATTTAATTTAAAAAAATCATAGACTTAAAATCAAAGGATGGAAAGCAGTCCTTTGATACAGAGTAGTGCCAAATAAACCTGGGGGAAAAGCAGGGGTAGCTATTCTAGTTGCAGACAAGGTGGATTTCAAGCCAAGTTTGATTAAGAGAGACAAAGAAGGCCACTACATCCTTGTAATGGAAACAATCAAAGAGGAAGGGATAATAATAATAAATATAATGCACCAAATTCCAGTGCACCCAATTATGCAAAACAAATATTAACAGACATGGAAAATCAAATTAGCACTAATGCAGTTGCAAAGGAGGACATCAATACACCACTGTTACATGTAAAGTGATCAACTTGGCCAAAAAAAAACCACACAAATATCAGCACTAAGCCAAACTGTTGAACAAATGAAATTAGTTGACATCTACAGAGTGTTCCACCCCACAAAATCAGAATACACATTCTTTGCAGTGCACATACGTTGTTCTCCAAAACAGACCACATACTAGCTCATAGAACATTTCTCAGCAAGTGCAAAGGAACTGAAATTATCCCATGCATATTATGAAGCCATAGTGCAATGAAACTGGAAATCAATGGCAAAAGAAACCAAAAAAATTCAAAAATACATGAAAATTAATTAACTCCATGCTGAACAACCAATGAGTCACAGATGAAATTAGACAAGTTTCTGCAATTAAACAATAATGCCAATAGTATGTACTAGAATGTATGGGACAAAATGAAAGCAG